CCCCATATTCTTTTTCCAACTTGAAAAATGTTAACAGTAATAGTCAAGATTGTTACCAGAGTCATAATACTCTCAGCAGACTACAACTTGGTAAACAACTTAATTCTGTAAGATTTCATAGTCAGTATCCTGTTCTTAATATAGCTTCACTTCATAATCAAAATCTGTATGAATAGAACATATTTCAGAATGTACAGAACTGATGAAGAAAATAGATTTTTTGACTAATAATGTACACTGGAAAAAAGTAGAAAAAATACTTCATTGGTAATAAATAAATGTGCTCATTTTTATTGTAAACTCATTATTCATTCAAAAATCAACTCATTATATTGACTAATTATTCTTTAAACATCAAGTTCCACATTTACAACAAACAGAATTAATAAACATTTCATAAATAATATTTTTCTACCTCATTGCACATTCAAAGCCAATAGTTTTCAAGTTCCAGGCTTGTTAGGATTAATAATTTTGGAAGAGTGATATGGCATAGTTTTGGCAGTATCAATGTAGCTATATGAATATTGATATTAGGCATAAGGTAATAGGTTCCTAATACATAGGATAGGTAGAAATGTTAGTAAACATTTATCTTTTTGTACAGTAATGTTGATCATAGGCAGTAAGGTTAGTTGTAGAAGGCAGTCACAGGAGAAAGTTGCTCTTTACATAACTAATAAATATCTTCAGCAGAAGTATGACATTATCCTAGGTGGCTTATTTGCATTTGTTGATATATTATTCAGATTTATTTTTATACCTGTATTGTGTTCATCACTTAAAGCATAAAGCAACATAATTACTTATTATAATGATAATTGTCCGTACACTTGTCCCACTTTAGAATAAATAAAATATCAGAGCAACCTTCTATGTTAGTTTTACTTTATTGTCTAATTAAATTCCAAGTCCTTGTCCTTAAGAGTATGTAATATTCTGATGTACTCAGATTAATAAGTACAATGTTCCTCTTCAATGAGCATGAGTCCACAGAATCTTCAAAAGTAACCTTCGTAAGTGTTGATATTTCTGTGTTATTCCAGATATATGATGTTGGTTTTGATGTGTATTCACCTTGAGACAATACATTCACTCCTAGTATTATAATAGCAGATCCAGAAATACAGTAAAAGCTTACTATTTTCCATTAATAGTCAATAAATTCAGTAGCTCAGGAATCTTTATTAATTTACAGTTTCATATTATCTTTCCTTTTAGTACAATACATTTGAAAGATCAGTGCATGAATTTTGTGTAGGCTATACAAGCATAGAGGTTATTAATATTCATGGAGAAAATGGTACAATTATAGGGCTGTAGAGTGCCTTACAATGGGAGATATTGCTTGATCCATGGAAAAGGAGTGGAGTTTTATTTCCTAAGATAAAGAGTTCTTCAGCAACGTGAAGGCACCTTCATTCAAGAAGACGCATGGGAAGTCCACTTGTAATGGCTTATACAGATATTAATGCATCTCCATTATTCAAATGCTTGGAAAGTTCAGCTTGATAGTTGTCAATAATGAGTTTTTAAGATTTGTTTCGTAATACAAAACACGTGCACATGCACCCACACATGCACATGTCATACACATGTGCCATACGTACGTGCCACACACGCACACACACCTGCCATACACACACACACGTGCCATAATACACACACACTCACCTGCCATATACACATGTGCCATACACACACACACACACGTGCCATACACACACAAACACGCATGTGCCATACACACACATGTGCCATACACACACACACACATGCCATATACACACACACACATGCCATACACACACACAACACACATGTGCCACACACACACACACATGTGCCACACACACACACATGTGCCACACACACACACACACACACAGTAGCGATCAGTGAAGAGGCAGGGCCAGGAGCTGTGTCTCGACCCCTGCAACAACAATTAGGTGAGTACAATTAGGTGAGTAAAACAAACACACACACACACACACACACAGAGGAAGGCCTCTGGGGGGACAGAACAGAGGGGGACACCAGCAAGGAATATACCAACAAGTGTTGGATGACATACATACAAATGAGGAGGAGGTGAAGAAGCTGCTAAGGGACATCAATACCTCAACGGCAATGGGACCGGACAACATCTCCCCGTAGGTCCTTAGAGAGGGAGCGGATATGCTGTGTGTGCCACTTACCACAATCTTCAACACATCCCTGGAAACTGGGCAACTACCTGAGGTATGGAAGATGGCAAATGTAGTTCCCATTATTAAAAAAGGAGACAGAAAAGAGGCACTAAATTATAGACCTGTGTCACTGACGTGTATAGTATGCAAAATTATGGAGAAGATTATCAGGAGGAGAGTGGTGGAGCACCTGGAACGGAACAAGAGTATAAACGCTAACCAGCACGGATTCATGGAAGGCAAATCCTGTGTCACAAACCTTCTGGAGTTTTATGATAAAGTAACAGAAGTAAGACACAAGAGAGAGGGGTGGGTTGATTGCATCTTCTTGCACTGCAAGAAGGCCTTTGACACAGTTCCTCACAAGAGATTAGTGCAGAAGCTAGAGGATCAGGTGCATATAACAGGAAGGGCACTGCAATGGATCAGAAAATACCTGACAAGGAGGCAACAACAAGTCATGGTACGTGATGAGGTATCACAGTGGGCACCTGTGACGAGCAGGGTCCCACAAGGGTCAGTCCTAGGACCAGTGCTATTTTTGGTATATGTGAACGACATGATGGAAGAGTTAGACTCAGAAGTGTCCCTGTTTGCAGACAATGTGAAGTTAATGAGAAGAATTAAATCAGATGAGGATCAGGCAGGACTTCAATGAGACCTGGACAGACTGGACACCTAGTCCAGCACCTGGCTTCTCGAATTTAACCCCTCCAAATGCAAAGTCATGAAGATCGGGGAAGGGCACAGAAGACCGCAGACGGAGTATAGGCTAGGTGGCCAAAGACTGCAAACCTCGCCCAAGGAGAAAGATCTTGGGGTGAGTGTAACACCGAGTATGTCTCCGGAAGCACACATCAACCAGATAACTGCTGCAGCATATGGGCGCCTGGCAAACCTGAGAACAGCGTTCCGATACCTTAGTAAGGAATCGTTCAAGACACTGTACACCGTGTACGTCAGACCCATACTGGAGTATGCAGCACCTGCTTGGAACCCGCACTTGATCAAGCATGTCAAGAAATTAGAGAAGGTGAAAAGGTTTGCGACAAGGTTAGTTCCAGAGCTAAGGGGAATGTCCTGTGAAGAAAGGTTAAGGGAAATCGGCCTGACGACACTGGAGGACAGGAAGGTCAGGGGAGACATGATAACGACATATAAAATACTGCGCAGAATAGACAAGGTTGACAAAGACAGGATGTTCCAGGGAGGGGACACAGAAACAAGAGGTCACAATTGGAAGTTGAAGACTCAGATGAGTCAAAGGGATGTTAGGAAGTATTTCTTCAGTCATAGAGTTGTCAGGCAGTGGAATAGCCTAGAAAGTGACGTAGTGGAGGCGGGAACCATACATAGTTTTAAGACGAGGTTTAATAAAGCTCATGGAGCAGGGAGAGAGAGGATCCAGTAGCAACCAGTGAAGACGCAGGGCCAGGAGCTAAGACTCGACACCTGCAACCACACACACACACACACACACACACACACACACACACACACACACACACACACACACACACACACACACACACACACACACACACACACACAGTTGGAAGTTGAAGACACAGATGAATCACAGGGATGTTAGGAAGTATTTCTTCAGCCACAGAGTAGTCAGTAAGTGGAATAGTTTGGGAAGCGATGTAGTGGAGGCAGGATCCATACATAGCTTTAAGCAGAGGTTGATAAAGCTCACGGTTCAGGGAGAGTGACCTAGTAGTGATCAGTGAAGAGGCGAGGCCAGGAGCTCGGACTCGACCCCTGCAACCTCAACTAGGCGAGTACAACTAGGTGAGTACACATACACACACACACACACACACACACACACACACACACACACACACAACACACAACACACACACACACACACACACACAACACACACACACACACACACACACAGTATAATGTATAATTTGAATGATAAATGATACTAAAACAATAAATAGACTAAAATATTCATTGGTAGTAATTGCTTTATCTTCAGTGAAAAAGGAAAAGTTTGACAAAACCAGCATTATATTTCATGGAATTTTTATACTGTTTTCCAAATATTTTGCATGCTGCTTGCATGCCTCATTTACAGTGTGTTTTGGCATGTTTTTTGTTAAGAAATGCATGTTTCAGTGTTGTTAAGAAATGCATGTTCCAGTGTTGTGTTACAGTCTGTGTACGGGGAGACTCCTCCAGTGACAATGTCCTCCACCTGGGGATGATCACCTCTACAGCTAGACACTCGTCACATCGACTAGTCTTCAAGGGTGCTTTTTTTTTTTAATGAAATAATACACATATATGTCGGAATATTATTGATGCTGTGAGGCGTGCTGTCATTACTGTTCCTTGTAGGACGCCTGCTGTAATATTAACCTTTGCAGGTATGCATACTTCTCCACAAGCAGCTACTAATAGTGCAGTTAGTTAACTTCAGGTTAGCACTGTTATAACATAGAATATGCAAATTTTAAGCAATTTAAATTTCTGCTCATATCTGAATAATTATTTTTACTGGTACCTGTATGTACTAACATTTTAATTTATAAAAAAAAAAATTAGCTACTAGTTTATAATGTTTATTTTAATGATTGTTTAGATAATTTTTTGTTAAGGATAAAGAATTGATGCTGTTCACATCTTGTTTTGTTGCACTGAATTTTTTTTTAAACACTGAGAATATATAATACTGTTTCATGTACCATTAAATGTATTGTTCCATAGATAATGTATTGCGAGATGAATCATGAAAATATTTGCATCAATTAATATTTTGGTTATCGGTAATTGACCTCGTTACCCTCTCCACAGTACAATTTGGATTTCCGAGGCCTAAGCCCAAGAGGAAGAGGAAACTCCCCATACAGGTCAGATGGTGAAGATGTCTCTGGCTCCGGCAACAACTCTGCCACGGGTGGGGGAACAGGCTCGGAAGGGAACATGTGACAATTTGGGATGGCCCGGCGGGGCAAGGGAGATGCACGCCGCACGCGTGTCTCCTTCCTTCTCTTCTAAATACATATACTGAGGAGAAGACCCTGCCCGGGCCACAGGAGAAGAGGGGCAGAGAATCTTTGGCTTTGTTGTTAATAACTGTTGGGATCCCCCTCAGCATCTATTTATTATTATAGAGGCTGACTTATGCTTCCACTGCAGCTTCTTGTTGTGCTCCTTTTGGTGCTAAACCAGTACAGTACTTATCATGTTAGTTACAGTAAGGAGTTTTCATAACCACTTTTACATGATGAAACGTCATTAGCACAAAGAAAATGCTGTATAAACACTGAAAAGAAAAGAAAGAGTAATGATGGCACAATATTCAAAACATGATCAAAGCCTTACTCATTTTTAAAGGATCATTGTATTTATTAAGAAACAACAAAACTGTATTTTCTCTGCCCCCATCTCCCTTTAGGTTATTTAGTTTTACTGATGGATGAAACAAAATTAATGTTAAAGGTTCAGTAGACTCAGGTTAAGGATTTTTTTGACAGCAACAAAAAGAACTTTCTAAAGAAAATTAGAAGAATAAATGTACTAAGTACATTTAAAAATTAAAACAGAATATATAAAGGCATAGGAGTGAATAAAAGGCAACTCATAAAAGGGTATAGAATGACATTAGTTTATTTAAGGAGTAACAACTGGGATAATTGTCTCTCCAGGAACAATGGCAATAAGAACTAATAAGGAGAGTTGGTATGGCTCTTTGTTGCTCTGTTAGTTAGTCCAGAGCTTCTGTAATCAAAGGCATACAGGCTGGACTCCTTAACCCTGCACTGTCAGCATATGGTGATGGATAAAACACTGCCGTGACTGGACCATTGTCACCAATGAAATCTGTTTACCATGAAATCAATAACTAGTGTGTGTGTGCGTGCATGCGTAAGTTTTCACAAGTTTGTGTACTTGCCTGACAAATGAGTAAAGTGGATCAGTTACTTTCATTGGTGACTTAAGTCAGTACAGTACGTATTAAAGAGATGACTACAGCTTGGTAAACTCACAACAAACTTGCCTTATGTTACCTGTTATATTAAAATGTATTCATGAATTCAATTACTAGTAATGCAACATGCCCAGCTTACCAGTTTTCACAATACTCTTCATAGATGTTACCTTGCTTACACTCCAACAGCATATTGCATTGCAAAAGCCACATGCTTAAACTCATACCAGTGCAAAACATGCACGAGCTTGCTGGATACTCAAGCCCCACTATTGGTCAATGTATCTTGCTCCTTCCTTTCTAATTAAAAAAAATATCTCCAAAATCCCTCTTCTACTCCTTTAATTATATGTTTCATACCATCACACCTAAGTGCTTCACTACTTTTTTCAGCATGATATTCACACCACACATTGATCTCATATATGACATCTTCACTGGCTTTCAATTTTTTTTGCCGTAATATTCAGGTACCATACTTTACTCCATATTGTTTTAAAAGAGTTGTCCTCATTTTGTTATATTCTCCTTTTTGCCTCCATTGCAAAACTTCTTTCCATAGATTCTGCAACACCCTAATTACCTTCTTTCCCAAATTTATTCTTTGATACATCTCATCATTATTAGATCCATTTGCCAACACATCCACTTTCAAATACATTTATTTATTCCATTCTCCTTCCCTCCAATCTGGCAATTAGTCTTTCATTATCTACAGTCTCTTTTTACTCTTATCACTCTACTCTTCTATGTTCACATTCAATTTTTTCCACTTAAGGAGCAACTACAAAGCCTCCCATCTAACATTCATTTCTTTTGCAGCCATATGCATGAATGCAATTAACAACCATAAGGACCAACCTGCCTCGTGCCGTTCACGGAGAACAAGTAATTTTTAAAGTGATAAACTTTAGTAAGAGCCTCCCCAGTGCCAGACCTTTCCTGTCTGTCATGTAATTTGCTTATATGTGTGTGTATATATTATGTACGAATGAATGCATATATAAAGGTGCATGTGTGTATTTGTGTGTGTCTGTGTGTGTGTATTTGTATATGTTTGTATTTGTATGTACGTATGTGTATTTTGTAGGTGTGTGTATTTGTATGTGTTTGCATTTGTGTGTGTGTGTATTTGTATGTGTGCATATTTGTGTGTGTGTGTATTTGTGTGTGTGTACTCACCTAGTTGTGGTTGCAGAGGTCAAGTCATAGCTCATGGCCCCCACCTTTTCACTGGTCACTACTGTGTCACTCTTCCTGCTCCATGCACTTTATCATACCTCTTCTTAAAGCTAGGTATGGATCCTGCCTCCACTACATCACTTCCCAGACTATTCCACTTCCTGACAACTCTGTGACTGAAGAAATACTTCGTAATGTCCCTGTGATTCAACTGAGTCTTCAACTTCCAACTGTGACCCCTTATTGCTGTGTCCCATCTCTGGAACATCTTGTCTCTGTCCACCTTGTCGATTCATCACAGTATTTTATATGTCGTTATCATATCCCCCCTATCTCTCCTGTCTTCCATTGTTGTCAATTCGATTTCCCTTAGCCTCTCCTCCTAGGATATACCCCTTAGCTCCGTGACTAGTCTTGTTGCAAACCTTTGCACTTTCTCTGGTTTCCTCACATGCTTGGCTAGGTAAGGGTTCCAAACTGGCACTGCATACCCCAATATGGGCCTCAAGTACACAGTGTACAGGGTCCTGAGTGACTCCTTATTTAGATGTCGGAATGCTGTTCTTAGGTTTGCCAGGTGCCTGTATGCTGCAGCAGGTATTTAGTTGATGTGCGCCTCAGATGTGCCCGGTGTTATACTCACCCCAAGATCTTTTTCCTTGAGTGAGGTTTGTAGTCTCTGGCCCCCCTAGACTGTACTCCGTCTGCGGTCTTCTTTGCCCTTCCGCAATCTTCATGACTTTGCACTTGGTGGGGTTGAACTCCAGGAGCCATTTGCTGGACCAGGCCTGCAGCCTGTCTAGATCTTCCTGTAGTTCTGCCTGGTCCTCATCCAACTGAATTCTTCTCATCAACTTCACATCATCCACAAACAGGGATACTTCGGAGTCTACTCCTTCTGTCATGTCGTTCACAAATACTGTACATACCAGAAACAGCACTGGTCCTAGGACTGATCCCTGTGGCACCCTGCTCGTTACAGGCGCCCACTCTGACACTTCGCCACGTACCATGACTCGCTGTTGTCTTCCTGACACCTGATCCATTGTAGTGCCTTCCCTGTTATCCCTGCCTTGTCCTCCAGCTTTTGCACTAATCTTTTATATGGAACTGTGTCAAATGCCTTCTTACAGTGTGTGTATGCATTTGTGTGTGTGTGTGTGTGTGTGTGTGTGTGTGTGTGTGTGTGTGTGTGTGTGTGTGTGTGTGTGTGTACTCACCTAGTTGTACTCACCTAGTTGAGGTTGCAGGGGTCGAGTCTGAGCTCCTGGCCCCACCTCTTCACTGGTCGCTACTAGGTCACTATCCCTGAACCGTGAGCTTTATCATACCTTTGCTTAAAGCTATGTATGGATCCTGCCTCCACTACATCACTTCCCAAACTATTCCACTTCCTGACTTCTCTGTGGCTGAAGAAATACTTCCTAACATCCCTGTGATTCATCTGTGTCTTCAGCTTCCAATTGTGACCCCTTGTTTCTGTGTCCCTTCTCTGGAACATCCTGTCTTTGTCCACCTTGTCAATTCTTCACAGTATTTTGTATGTCGTTATCATGTCTCCCCTAACCTTCCTGTCCTTCATTGTCGTCAGGCCGATTTCCCTTAACCTTTCTTACTAGGACATTTCCCTTAGCTCTGGAACTAGCCTTGTTGCAAACCTTTGCACTTTCTCTAATTTCTTGTGTGCTTGACCAGGTGTGGGTTCCAAACTGGTGCTGCATACTCCAGTATGGGCCTGACATACACGGTGTATAGAGTCTTGAACAATTCTTTACTGAGGTATCAGAATGCTATTCTTAGGTTTGCCAGGTGCCCATATGCTACAGAAGTTATCTGGTTCATGTGCACTTCAGGAGATGTGCTTGATATTATACTCACCCCAAGATCCTTCTCCTTGAGTGAGGTTTGCAGTCTTTGGCCACCTATCCTATACTCTGTCTGCAGTCTTCTTTGCCCATCCCCGATCTTCATGACTTTGCATTTGGCGGGGTTAAATTTGAGGAGCCAGTTGTTGGACCAAGCTTCCAGCCTGTCTAGGTCTCTTTGTAATCCTGCCTAGTCCTCATCTGATTGAATTCTCCTCATTAACATCACATCATCTGCAAACAGTGACACTTCTGAGTCTGTACCTTCCATCATGTCATTCACATATACCAAAAATATCACTGGTCCTAGGACTGACCTCTGTGGAACCCCACACGTCACAGGCGCCCACTGTGATGCCTGGCCATGCACCATGACTCGTTGACTCCCTGTCAGGTATTCTCTGTTATACGTGCCTGATCCTCTAGCTTTTGCACTACTCTCTTGTGGGGAACTGTGTTGAAGGCCTTCTTGCAGTCCAACAAAATGGAGCCTACCCACCCCTCTCTCTCTCTCTCTTGTCTTATTTCCATTACCTTGTCATAAAACTCCAGTAGGTTTGTGACACAGGATTTGCCTTCCATGAATCCATGCTGGTTGTTGTTTATAAGCTTGTTCTATTCTAGGTGCTCCACCACTCTCCTTTCCTGATAATCTTCTCCATACTATACACATCAATGACACTGGTCTGTAGTTTAGTACCCCATTTCTGTCTCCTTTCTTAAAAATGGGGACTACATTTGCCATCTTCCATACCTCAGGTAGTTGCGAAGGTTTCAGTGGATGTGTTGAAAATTGTGGTCAGTGGAACACACAGCATCTCTGCTCCCTCTCTAAGAACCAACAGAGAGATGTTGTCCAGTCCCACCACCTTTGAGGTATCAAGGTCACTTAGCAGCTTCTTCACCTCCTCCTTGGTTATGTGTATTTCATCCAACACTTGTTGGTATATCCCGTGTTGGTGTACCCTCTGTTCTGACCTCCCAGAGACCTTTCTGTCTCCACTATAAATACTTCCTTAAATCTCATGTTGAGCTCCTCGCATACTTCTTGGTCATTTCTTGTGAGCCCCCCACCTTCTTTCCTCAGCCTGATTACCTGGTCCTTAACTGTTGTCTTCCTCCTGATGTGGCTATACAACAGCTTCAGGTCAGACTTGACTTTCGATGCTGTATAATTTTCGTACAGTTGCTGGGCCTTCCTCCTTACCTGTGCACACTTGTTTCTGGCTCTTTGACTAATCTCTTTATTTTCCTGGGCTCTTTGTCTTCTGTACTTTTTCCATTCTCTAGTCCACTTAGTTTTTGCCTCCCTACACCTTTGAGTAAACCAAGGGCTAAATCCCATTATTTCTGTTGCCCTTGGGAACAAACCTTTCCTCTGTCTCCTTGCATTTTGATGTTACATAGTCCATCATTTTGTTTACTGACTTTCCTACCAGTTCTCTTTCCCACTGAACCTCTTGCAGGAAGTTCCTCATACCTGTATAGTCCTCCCTTTTGTAGTTTGGCCTTTACCATCCTACTCCTGTTACCCTCTCCACTTATAACTCTTTGTATTCAAAGCTCAGAACCATATGATCACTAGCTCCAAGGGGCCTTTCATATGTGATGTCCTCAATGTCCGAGCTACTCAGGGTGAACACGAGGACAAGTCTTGCTGGTTCATCCTCCCCTCTCTCTCTGGTAGTGTCCCTAACATGTTTATGTATGAGGTTTTCCAGTACTATATCCATCATCTTGGCTTTCCATGTTTTGGGACCCCAATGCGGTTCCAGGTTTTCCCAATCAATCTCTTTGTTACTGAAATCGCCCATAACTAGTAACTTTGCTCTACCCATGTGAGCTCTTCTGACCACCTCAGCTAGTGTGTTCACCATTCAGTCACTGTTGTGTGAGAAGTGTTCAGATGTCACATTTCCAGTGATCCTCTGAACTTTAACATTCCCACTCAGGAAAAGTATCTGTAACATTCTCACTCAGGAAAAGTAACTGTAACATTCCTACTCAGGAAATGTGATTAGCTGGATTTAAATCCAACTAATCACTTTTCCTGACTTCATAAATCTTACCCTATGCTCCAGTGGCACATCAGATCCTTGTCTCCACTCACTCTGATCTAACATGATCACACATGCCTGCTGGATGCCATGGGCAGCTCAAGAGTTTTATATAGGAGAGGTTTAGGGGGTGGCACTCTGAAATGGTGGCTAGATGACAGTGGTTGCATCAAGGGAAGGGCTTGAGGGGAGGGGGGATTCAGCCCTCCAAAATTATTACAGCCCCCAAATATAAATAGTAACAATAATAATTAGAAATAATAATAAGGTGCTTCCTAGCACCTCATCCAACCAGATAGCCACCCCTAAGCCTCGGACCCATCCCAATATAGAAATTCTGGATCCACTCCTGCTAGAGGACCTATCTTGAAGTTGTCTTTGCAGAGCAAGCACACTGTTTTTACTGGGGATATTTGAGAATGGACTTGCCAGCAGATGGGTCTGTGAAAGACGAGGTGAACCATAAAATGGATGAGGGGTAAAAGGTGAGGGGGGAGGGATAACATGCATTGAGGAATCCGTAGAGACAAGGAACTTTGACCATGAAGGCAAAAAAAAGGGAAATGTACCAAATTGTAGCAGTATCAGCACTGTTATGTGGGTGTAAGGCATGGGCTTTAAATGTTGCAACAAGGAGGAGGCTTAAGGCAGTGGAGATAGCATGTTTGAGCACAATGTTTGGTGTGAATTTTATGCAGAGAATTAGGAGTGTGAAGATTATATGATGATGTAGAATTATGACAAGTATAATTCAGAGGGCTGAAGAGGACTTACTGAGGATGGACAGAACAGGATGACTAAGATGGTATATAAATCTGGAGTGGAAGGAAGGAAGGAGTAGTTGGGGTCATTTCAGAAAGGGTTGGAGGGAGATAGTAAAGGTTTTGAGTGCTAGGAGCTTGAGCATCCAATAGGCTTATGTGAGTACATTAGATCAGAATGAGTGGAGATTGATTTTTATGACTCGACATGCAAGGTAACATTTATGAACAAATTCAGGGAAACCAGTTAGCAAGATTTGAGTCCTGGAGGTGGGAAATATAGTGTCTGCACTCAAGCAGAGGTGATAATGTTACACTGCAGAGGGTCACCTGAATTGTGATGTCAGTACACTTTTGGCAAGACACTGATTGAGTGGATAAAGGTGAAAGTCTTTCCTCCAGTTTTGGGTCACCCTACCTCAGTGGGAGATGGCTAGTGTGTTAACATTTATGATATATTCTCTCTTTTTTTTTTTTTTTTTTTTTAACAAGTCGGCCATCTCCCACCGAGGCAGGGTGACCCAAAAAGAAAGAAAATCCCCAAAAAGAAAATACTTTCATCATCATTCAACACTTTCACCTCACTCAAACATAATCACTGTTTTTGCAGAGGTGCTCAGAACACAACAGTTTAGAAGCATATACGTATAAAGATGCACAACATATCCCTCCAAATTGCTAATTTCCCAAAACCGAAAAAAACTGTCAACTTGAATGATTCGATCTCTTGATAATAAGAATTTTGGTGGTGGCTGCCACAACCTGTATGTATTTATTTATTTGTGTGTAAGAGATGAAGTGGAAGGGGAAAGGCAGAGAAATGGAAAAAAGGGAGGGGATGACCAACAGACAGACAAAAGTAAGTTAAAGAATGATGGGGAGACAAAAATATGTTTGAGGAGAACAAGAAAAAAGAGATACACACTGACAGGCAATTCACTGCTTTTTAGTCCAAGGACTGACCAGAAAATTTTTTGTCCATCCCTCAGAGTCTTTAAGTCAGGGGGGGGGCTTTCCAACCTTTTCTAGGCCCCACACCCCTAGGAAATATTTGATTAATGTTGCACTCCCTACAAAAATAATATCACATTGGAAGATGAAGTACATAAAATTCAAATATAAATTGAGCAGTTAAAAATTTTTTTGGTAAAATAAACAGAATTGTGCTTTTCATTAGGACTCTTTGTTGCACCCCATGAAATGCCATCTCACACCCCCTAGGGGTGCATGCACCCCAGTTTGGGAATCCCTGGGGTGCACACAGATTGATAACTGCTGTCTTCAGTTATCAATCTGGCATGAGAATTTTCTGTTGAATCATCAGAGGCAAAGAGACTAGCTTATAGATAATAACAAGGATTTACTTTATCAAGAAATTCCTTTCATTGTACCGTATAAGTTGTTATAGCAAGTGTTTTGTTGTGAGTTTATGTCCTAAAAGACCATCTCTTGCTCTTGAACACCTGTACCTTACTTAGCTTTGTAGCTCATGATTTTCATTTTTACATATCAGTATTTTCTAGTTTAAAAGCTTTACTAAAAGGGTAAATTGGAAAATGGATTTTAACATGACTCGACAGTGTTAAGAGGTATGGCCTGACATGGACTGCCCCAAAGATTATATTTTTGAGCTGCATTAGTGTGCTTTGTATAGTAGATAAATAATCCTAATTTTTGTATATGATATATATAAAAACTGATGTTCATCAATAACCAGTAATCTTCAGTTCTTTTGCTTGCTTCTAACTTGAAGGCTTATTATGCCATCTTGATAAAGAAGACTTATTTGCTCAAAATATTCAGTAAATTCAAGCATTTTTGGAAGGGTCCATTGTAAGTATTGGAAACTAAGGAAATCACAGTTTTTCATACAAATATTCAATAGCATTTATTGAGCCATGTAAATTCATATGGATTACTGGTGTTGATTTATTATTATTACTAATGTTATTGTCATTATTTTTGTTATTATTAATATTGGTTTATTATAATTATTATTATTATTTTTATTATTATTATTATTTTTATTATTATTATTATTATTTTTATTACTATTACTGAAGAAAGATATCTGCTTTCCTTAGATATACCCTTCCATGATATGTACGTGAATCCATAGTTGATATATTGTTGTAGTAGGTGAGATTTTTCAGGGTAATTCATGACTAACTAAGTCACTATATTTGTTGATATTCTTTAGAACTTTGTACAAAATGTGTGTACATTAATTTAACTGTTGCTGCTGCCTAGTCATTCCATGAAAACAGGGTTACACTCTCAAATCTTGTTAATTTGTACCTCTGTGAAAAGTCTAAACAAACTAGGAAAGAATTGGGAATGGGAATATTCAGTAAGTTAATGAATGTTAGTAATTTTTATCATTGTGATATAGGAGTTGCTGGGCCCATTTATAAGTATATGGGACATGACAAAACGTAGATGACTTATTAAACCACTCATGGTAAATTTATTGTCTAATGAATAGTTTGTGTGTGTGTGTGTGTGTGTGTGTGTGTGTGTGTGTGTGTGTGTGCGTGCGTGCGTGCGTGCGTGCGTGCATGCGTGTGTGCGTGCGTGCGTGCGTAAAAATGAGGGATAGTGAAATTAGGTATGATGGAGGCCAAATTAACAAGGTTTATAAGTACTATATTGCAGATTGTTAACTACTCACTCTCCCCACACTGAAGCATCGTTCTGTGATAAAGTGTGATGGAAGAACCTAGCCTAAGTAGTGATCATTGCAAATCAAACAAAATTAATACACTATTGGTATGTTTAGTTGACAGCAGTACATGTTCTTGAAGTAAAATCATAGTCACAAAAACTGCTAAACTCATATAGGTCATTCAACAGTCTTGAATGAAAAAATATAGTAATACTTTTTGATCTAGAGGCCTGTATACTATTCTGTTATACAAAAATAAAGTTTTCTTCCCTGTTATTTGAGGGTAAATATGATATGCTAAGTCAAATTGAAGACATTTAAGGCACTTAGTATACTTCATGGTTTAGTATTGTCAGCATATCATTCTCTGTATACAGTGGAACCTCTATTATCTAACCCTCTGATAACCACCAATTATTCTATTTTTGGGCAGTAATGATTTAAAATGACTTAGCACTTTTCAGGTGGCAAGTCCAAGGAATAATTCTTTTGGTCAACCAGACTTGGCAACTGCACTCATGTTGTTGTGAACTGCCTCCAGTGTCATAACCTAACTAGAGCCATATTAATGTATATATTAATATAATGTTGAGATTTCCCATTAGAAGGCAGAATCAAAGAAAATAATATGGTTTCCAGCGGGCCCACTGAGCATATTTTAAAAAATGACTCCATGCCTGCCTTAGATTTTGAGCTACAAGCATCACCATGCAAAAGTTCATATTGCTGTATCTCCTTAAATATAACTCTAAATGTAATATTATTGAGGTTAACAAGTTGCACAACCAAAGAGAAAACAAACCTAAGACTTTTAAAAAGGCTTATCAGTCATCACCAAACATTTAATGTTGGTATAAACATCTGGTGTTTTATGAGAGCCTACAGTAGTGAAAGTCATATTAGCCATAGGCCTACAATATCTGATAGGGACTTAGCCCCAACATAACATAACTTAACAAATTTCATTATGCTTTATAACCATTTATAGTATCTTTAAAGGTATAAAATACTCTATAAATGCAAATGGTTATGTCATACACACGCTGTTTTTGTATGTATTTATGTGTGTACAGGCATGTGTGATTAGTTTGCCTGTTTGCAGTCACAGAACTGCTCATAATGTCTCCATCTCTAGTGTTTAACCCTTTCAGGGTTTTCAACATACTAGTACGGCTTACGCACCAGGGTTATTGACGTGCTAGAACGCCTAAATTCTAGCACCTTAAAATCTAGCGAGAGAAAGCTGGTAGGCCTACATATGAAAGAATTGGTCTATGTGGTCAGTGTGCGCAGTATAAAAAAAATCCTGCAGCACACAGTGAGTAATGAGAAAAAAAAAAACTTTGACGGTGTTTTTGGATTAAAACAGCGACTTTGCACTGTATTTTTGTATGGTATTTATGGTTGTATTCTAGTTTTCCTGGTCTCATTTTATAGAATGGAAGACATATTACAGAAATTGAGATGATTTTGATTGGTTTCACATTAAAAAATACCTTGGAATTGAGCTCAAAGTAGCAGAAATGTTCGATTTTTACCAAAGTTCAAAAGTAAACAAATCATGCCAAGCGTCCAATACACCTCAACTGGTGAGTCAAATATTCTTTCACAAGTGCGCGGATATTATTTTTACCATTTCTACACTAATCCAGTAGTCTGCATAACAGTAAATCTATTTTTTGTGAGAATAAAAATTCAAAGTGGAAAGCAAAAGAAATATAAGAGGGGCCTGGGGACGTGACTAACGAACAGAGAACTTGTTATTTTAGTGCCAGGAATGTCTGTCTTGTTTATTCTGGACCCTATTTGGAAATTGGCATCTTCTGAAATTTGTGTGAAATTGGCAAAATTCCCAATTTCTAATCACTTTATTGGATAGTTGAAATTGGAAAATGAGTGGTTTCTTGTACTCATTCGATAGAAAAAATGGAGTTCTAGTGAAATAAATATGATTTTTGTCGACTAGTACACAGAAATTGGCTGAAAATAGGGCTCAAAAGTGGGCAAAATCGCCGATGTTTATGCATCGGCGAGACCGCTAAATTTGTGAGAGCATAATTCCGTAAGTTTTCCTTCAAATTTCATACTTTTGGTGTCATTATGATCGGGAAAAGATTCTCTATCATTTCATAAGAAAAAATAATTTTTTTTTTCCGAAAAATTTTCGACCCTGAGAACACGTTTAGGAGAGGGCCTCTCGACCCTGGAAGGGTTAATCTATCTTGCATACAACTTCTGTTGTTCTGCCACTGTTAACATAGCCTTACTGATATCCTTTTTTAAGTGCCATTTTTTCCAGGACAAGCACCTAAAGTCGGTTCCTGACCCTCTGGGCTGTGGCTCGTACGTTGGTTTGCGTGCGGCCAGCAGCAACAGCCTGGTTGATCAGGCTCTGATCCACCAGGAGGCCTGGTCACAGACCGGGCCGCGGGGGCGTTGACCCCCGGAACTCTCTCCAGGTAAACTCCAACCATGGCCTCTTATTTTCCCTATTGAGTACAAAAAAATTTTCTTTATCTGCTTTCATTTGTATAATTTTTTTTTTTACCTTATACAGCATATAGTCATGTCTCCTTTCCACCACATTCTGTTCCTCTCATCTGCCACATTCCTTCCTCCTCTCATTTGCCACATTCTTTCTTCCCTCCTCTTTTCTGCCACATTAATTTCCTCCTCTCTTCTGCACATTTTTTCCTCCTGTCTTCTGCCACATTTTTTTCCTCCTCTCTTCTGCCACATTCCTTTCCTCCTTTCAACTGTCACATTCAAAACTGCTTGTGTTGCATCTTCAGCAAACAGAAAGAGTTTATCTTGTGTTTGATGTTTGGTTATTCTGATGTTCAGATCAACTGATGTGCAGACTCCTTTAGCACATTCCACAGTTTAGGACTTTATAATCTTTTAATGGGGGGTTGCCATTTACAGATTACAGTACTGTAATTTTCACAATTGTCTTGGCACTCGCTCCATCACTGTCAGTGTCATTGGTTGAAATAAATACCCATTAGAGCTATCACTGGTTGGACTAAATACCCATCAGAGCTATCATTGGTTGGATTAAATACCCATCAGAGCCTTATGGTGCCCTGTGGCCTGGTGGCTAAAGCTCTCACTTCACACAGCGAGGGTAGAAACATTGGGCATGCTTCTTTGCACAAGTTGTCTATGTTCCTCATCAGTAAAATGGGTACCTGGGAGTTAGGCGACTGGTGTGGGTTACATCTTGGGGCAAAACTGACCTAATTTGCCCAAAATGCTCTGCATAACAAGTGGCTTTTTGTATAGTAGTGTCACTGATGGCAGCAAAGCCTGTATACCTTGTACATGTACTTGTAGATATAAAGATATTATTATTATTGGTTGGACTAAATACCCATCAGAGCTATCATTGGTTGGACTAAATATCCATAAGAGCTATCATTGGTTGGATTAAATACCCATCAGAGCTATCATTGGTTGGACTAAATACCCATCAGAGCTGTCATTGGTTGGACTAAATATCAGTCAGAGCTATCAAATTACAGTTGAGCTTTTGGTCATCTTGTCATCACTGTTGTTCGTAAGGAAAGGGACTTCTTCTGCTGCTGCACATTCAACACATAAACCTTATTTTCTCCGAATTTTGTCAGTATTATTACTACAGTATAATTAGTTATGTCAGTATTATTATTATAGTATAATCAGTTTTGTCAGTATTATTACTACAGTATAATTAGTTATGTCAGTATCATTTCTACATTATAATTAGTTATGTCAGTATTATTACTGCAGCACAATCAGAAACAAGTGGGTTGTACTGACAGTCCTACATCTTTTGATACTTCCATTATTCCATTTATCAGAGAGTACGTATTTCAACTACAATTTGAATCTCCTGGCAACCCCGACATGTGACTCTGCCCTTCCCTCTGAGAGTACCACCTTTAATGTAGTTTTATTCTATGATTTCTTAACTCAAACTGAACTACTGCAAAAAAAAAAAAAAAAAATTAGATTTTATTAATGTACATTTTGGTACATCCACTGACAATGTAGGGTATGAAAAACATTTATTATTTTTTCCCTTCAGGTCTTCAGTTTGCAACATGATTTCAGGAAACATGTTGCTTTTCAGAAGCATAAGCAGTGTGTGTGTGTTACTTATTGTTTACCAAAGGCACTTGTCAATAGACACTGTACTTACTTATGTGTGGTTGCAGGGGTCGAGTTTGTGTGTGTGGATGTGCGTGCATGTACCTGCGTATGCCTTGGGCCATATCTTGCCTGTATTTAAAGGTATTTTCAAAATTCCTAATCCAGATTATTACACACTTCCTAACCACCCTCAAATTAAGGAAGTACATATATTGTGACTTCTGTGCAAGACACATTTTTATTTCTGGTTTCTATCTATGGTCCATGTTCTCAATAGGGATGGGGCTAAACCCAAGAAGGGTGGGGCTTGACAAGAAAGGGGGGCAGGGCTTGATCAGGAATATATGTATATATGTATGTGTGTGTGTACTTGCCTATTTGTGGTTGCAGGGGTCGATTCATAGCTCCTGGCCCTGCCTCTTCACTGATTGCTACTAGGTCCTCTTTCTCCCTGCTCCATGAGCTTTATCATACCTCACCTTAAAATTATGTATGGTTCCTGCCTCCACTACATCACTTTCTAGGCTATTCCATGGCCTGACTACTCTATGACTGAAGAAATACTTCCTAACATCCCTTTGATTCATCTGAGTCTTCAACTTCCAACTGTGACCTCTTGTTTCTGTGTCCCATCTCTGGAACATCCCGTCTTTGTCCACCTTGTCTATTCCGCACAGTATTTTATATGTCGTTATCATGTCTCCCCTGACCCTCCTGTCCTCCAGTATCGCCAGGCCGATTTCCCTCAACCTGTCTTTGTAGGACAATCCCCTTAGGTCTGGGACTAGTCTTGTTGCAAACCTTTGCACTTTCTCTAATTTCTTGATGTGCTTGACCAGGTGTGGATTCCAAATGGGTGCTGCATACTCCAGTATGGGCCTGACGTAAATGGTATACAGAGTCTTGAACGATTCCTTACTGAGGTATCAGAACGCTATCCGTAGGTTTGCCAGACGCCCGTATGCTGCAGCAGTTATCTGATTGATGTGCACTTCAGGAGATATGCTCAGCATTATACTCACCCCCAGATCTTTTTTCTTGAGTGAGGTTTGCAGTCTTTGGCCATCTAGACTATATTGTGTCTGCGGTCTTCTTTGCCCTTCCCCAATCTTCATGACTTTGCATTTGGCAGGGTTAAACTCAAGGAGCCAGTTGCTGGACCAGGCTTGTAGCCTGTCCAGGTCTCTTTGTAGTCCTGCCTGATCCTCGTCTGATTTGATTCTTCTCATTAACTTCACATCATCTGCAAACAAGGACACTTCTGAGTCTATCCCTTCCGTTATGTCATTCACATATACCAAAAACAGTACAGGTCCTAGGACCGACCCCTGTGGAACCCCGCTTGTCACAGGCGCCCACTCTGACACCTTGTCATGTACCATGACTCGTTGTTGCCTCCCTGTCAGGTATTCTCTGATCCATTGCAGTGCTTTTCTTGTTATGTGTGCCTGATCCTCTAGCTTTTGCAGTAACCTCTTGTGAGGAACTGTGTTGAAGGCCTTCTTGCAGTCCAAAAAAATGCAGTCGATCCACCTCTCTCTCTCTTGTCTTACTTCTGTCACCTTGTCATAAAACTCCAGTAGGTTTGTGACACAGGATTTTCCTTCCCTGAAACCATGCTGGTTGTCAATTATACACTTGTTTCTTTCCAGGTGCTCCAACACTCTCCTCCTGATGATCTTCTCCATGACTTTGCATACTATACACGTTAGTGATACAGGTCTGTAGTTTAGTGCCTCATGTCTGTCTCCCTTTTTAAAAATTGGGACTACATTTGCCATCTTCCATACCTCAGGGAGTTGCCCAGTTTCAATGGATGTGTTGAAGATCTTTGTTAATGGCACACACAGCATCTCTGCTCCCTCTCTAAGGACCCACGGAGAGATGTTGTCTGGTCCCACCACCTTTGAGGTGTCAAGTTCACATAGCAGCTTCTTCACCTCCTCCTTGGTTATGTGTACCTCATCCAGCACTTGTTGGTGTACCCCCCTGTTCTGATTTCCTGGAGTCCTACTGGTTTCCACTGTAAATACTTCTTTAAATCTCGTGTTGAGCTCCTCACATACCTCTCGGTCGTTTCTTGTGAACTCCCCATCACCCTTCCTCAGTCTGATTACCTGGTCCTTGAATGTTGTTTTCCTCCTGATGTGGCTATACAACAGCTTCGGGTCAGACTTGACTTTCGATGCTATGTCATTTTCATATTGTCGCTGAGCCTCCCTTCTTATCTGTGCATATTCGTTTCTGGCTCTTCGGCTAATCTCTTTATTTTCCTGAGTTCTCTGTCTTCTGTACCTTTTCCATTCTCTAGTACACCTAGTTTTTGCCTCCCTACACCTTTGGGTGAACCAAGGACTCGTTCTGTTCTTTCCATTATTTCTGTTTCCCTTGGGAACAAACCTCTCATCTGCCTCCTTGCATTTTGTTGCCACATAGTCCATCATTTCTTGTACTGGTTTTCCTGTCAGTTCTCTCTCCCACTAAATGTCTTGCAGGAAGTTCCTCATGCCTGAGTAGTTCCCCCTTTTGTAGTTTGGTTTTTCCCATCCTATTCCTGCTACTCTCTCCACTTGAAGCTCAACTATGTAGTCAAAGCACAGAACCACATGATCACTAGCTCCTAGGGGCCTTTCATACATGATATCCTCGATGTCCGAACTACTCAAGGTGAATACAAGGTCCAGTCTTGCTGGATCGTCCTGTGTGTGTGTGTGTGTGTGTGTGTGTTTGTTTATTTGCAAGATGTTGCTGCAATACAGATCTGAGGCTCTAATTTTACCCGATCAGTTCCCAGCACTCTTTACACAATTTGTCACTTCTGCAGTACTGTATTGTGAAATTCTCACTCCTGAGGCTCTCTTTGGAAGTTTGCCTCTTGTATTTGGATACACAATTGATAACGGAAATTGCATCAGTCACCCCCAGAAGCACTATTTTGGAGGAAGTGAAAGGGATATTGTTCCCCTCAGTGGTAGGTATTCTCTGTAGTCACACGCTACTCTGTTTTCTTGACCTTTGTGGGTTTAGCTCTTAGTTTTGATTGTAGTAATAATCATTCACTGTTTTCTTCACGTGCACATTACCCTTTCGTAGTGTTTTCCTTGGTAAGAAGGCACTGTGCAGCACAAACCTTTGAAGATGATGAAATGTTCCAGCCACAGTAGTGTGACCTTTTTATTCTTTATTCTCATGCTGTCCTGTCTACTACTATTTTTTCCACACCCATTTTTTTTTTTTCATTTTCTATTTTATGTCACTGTTTGTCTGAAATGGTCTGCCTAACTATGGGCTTTACCTTTACCATGTATATATCCTTAAGTTATGCCATCTCTTATAAACAAACAAACAATGTATCATTTTGTTAATGTTTTGGTTAGTGACAGGTTTTTCAAGTTAATACGTACACAGCACATTAAGCTTGATATATCCAAAAACATGATGAAATGGAGGGGGGCAGTCAGATAATGGATGTCAGTGTGGTGATGCTGGTAGGTTAGTTGGGTCACCTATACAGTGTTTTGAAGAGTTTTATGATATGAGCTTAGCTAGAGCCTTTCCGATGCTAATTACCCCCCAGGTTGTGGTCTATGATACTGGAAGCCTTTACTACCCACAACATTCAGCTAATAGCTAGGTGCTAGGTGAACAGGGCCAGCAGGCATAAAGAAACTTACCTAAATATCTAAATTTTCCCCTGGATTAAATCCAGGTTATTTAATTGCAAACACTACCACTGAGCTACAAACCACTTATATCACTTGTATGTGCTTGCTAATAGCAATCCCTAGTATACTTAATGAAAGCAAGTGGCCCTTGCTTCTTTTTTTTTTGATAGCCAAATAATCATGTACTATTAAAGTGACTAAATCTTTACAAATTATGTATGGAGTGCTGTGATACTCAAAGAATATTTATGCAAAAACTGGATTTAAAGGTAGATTCATTTCGATAGTTTCATAGCTTTTTTTTTGCCTATGACATTTAATTTCCATAATACATTTTGAAATAGAAATTATCAGTTAAAGTAAACTTTCATTATGATGGGCTAATAGGGGAGAGCAGATGGCTAGTAATAGTATATGTGGTGGTCAAAGAAGAGATTATTTTTCCGGGATTGTAACAGTTAACAATTCTATAATCAACTGACTTTGTCTATTGTTTCCGTATCAACTGACCCAGCAGATTCTGTACCGTATTTCTGAAGTCAGTTATGCAGAGGTCCATTATATTGACTGCAACTGTAAACTGTCCAGAGTTTCCTCCCATGGTCATTCTAGTAACATTATTTTCTAAGAAATTTTGGTGTAAAATAAAGACAAAAATTACTTTTTTTTTTTTTTTTGAGTCATTGTATGGGTACATACCTTCCCTACAAAATTAACATTTCATGACAAAATGCTGGAGGCAAAATTTTTTAAACAACTAGGTAATTTGAATATACTGGTAATATTAAACCAGATACATGGTATACATAGTATGCATGATATACATAGTGTACATGATATACATGGTAAATAGGGATTATATAGTATACATGGTATATATATATATATAGTGTGCATATTACACATAGTATACATGGCATAAATAGTATGTGATATACATGGTTCTTATGTACTGTATTTGCTAAAGTTCTTGAGTATTAGCTATGGTTCCCTTGATTCTAAATTTCTTTCCAATCATTTATAAGTTACAGGCAAAGCCAAAAAAAAAAGAAAATCAATAATGTATAGCAAACCCAGTGTAAAGAGGGGCCCTATGCATAGCTGTGTTATCATACAGTGTGTGTAATGAATTTATTGGTTGTCGGTCATTTACATACTGCAGTTCTTGAAGTGTCTGCTTGCTACAGAGGCTAGGTGCTGGAAGTGATTGCATATACTGCAGTGACCTATGGAACTGCTTGCTTACTATTGAAGCAGCTTGAATATGTAAGTCACCATTGTGTGTTCATTCATACCTCATGCCATAATGTGCATTAAGTTGGTCATGTCACTGCAGTTACGGAGGATTGTGCAAGTCACCTCATTTCCATTTTGACTCCCATTCTCATCATTGTACATCGTACTCCTTTTAACTTAATTTGTAGTGTATGATTACATTGTAATTGTTTCATGCCAAAGTTTTCAAAAAAAAAAACATATATATATATATACTGTATGTATTTATGTATGTATATGTGTATATATGTGTATATATATATTTAATATATATATATATATATATATATATATATATATATATATATATATATATATATATATATAATATAATATATATATATATATATATATTAATATATATATATATATATATATATATAATATTATATATTATATATATATATATATATATATATATATATATATATATTATATATATATATATATATATATATAAAATCCTGATGTCATGATATTTTAAGAAATTAAAAAAAGGTATAGTACTGTAATGTAAAGCTTAAGATGTCATTTGACTAAAAAAAAATTTTTCACAGAATGCTTGTGTACAAGCGGTTGTAAATGTAATAAATTCATCCTATGGCTAATATTGCTTATTAGATTTAATGTCATTAGGAATGTTAGCTAACAAGTCTTACAATATTCTTTGTATAGACTTGCAGTATGCAACACATCTGAGTACATATATTTCATGACTTATCTAAATGTGACTATATCATAATTAGAATCAAAGAATATTTGGGTACAGGTATCATTATCTGCTCACAGTACATTCTTAACAACATATCTATTTTCTCAGTTCATAAGCTCTGTTAATGCAGTCTGTTGTTGATTTAGAATATTGCAAGTTACCTGCTTCTACCCATTAACATTGCTGATTAAATAAGCTGTCTTGATTATTTATAAATAACTATCTTTCATGTACGCAAAACAGCAATATCTAATTTTTTTTTGTGTTATTGTTAAATAGCAAAGTTATATTTTTCATAGGAATAAGGCATAATCCATTGAGAAGTTTTTTGGGATGGAATTTTTGTGAATCCCTTGAGTGTATCAAAATACCCATGAAAAATTCCATATAACAAAGAGGTGTTTGAGTATATGATGTTAAGAATAATCTATGGATTGTTAACTAGGTGCAACATAGTATTACATGGAAATTCTTACCTCATTAGTGGTAGCTTTCAGTCACTCATAAATAAACAAAAAAGAGTATTAAGCAATTTTTGGTTTTAGCTCTCAAGCGGTAGCAAAAATATCTGATCTCCAGCGTCTATGCTAGTAGTGTGCTTGCGAGAGTGTGAGAAAAATATGTACATGTATGCTGATCCGTGCCTCTAGAAAATGAGGCTGAGTGGGAATACATATAAGTATGGCTCTGTATTTCTGAGTTTAAGGTTACTAGAATTTTAAAATGTTGCATTTAGATTGAGGAGTTTGAAAAAAAAGTTGCTGTGAACCTTGCATGCCTAGAAATTTACATCAATGGACTTTTCTAGACGTGTTGTGTATTATTCCCTTATTAGTACCCTCTCCCATTATATAACTTGCTGAAGTTTACTGGTAAATGCTAACAATCTTGCTGGAGCAAAACTGCATTACTTTTGGAAAAGCTAAATAATGATGAAAAGTATGGAAAATCTGTGAAGAATATTGTATATATGCATGGTCTGTCATACATTTATTTTAATGTATT